ATTATATTTTATGCTCAGGCTGGAGGAAGGATGACAACACTGGAAGATAGCGTGCAATTAGCAGTCACCCATAATGGAAAACACTAACAAATAACTGTGTTTAGATCTCCTTGTGTGATCAAAGTGATCAGTTTGAAAGGCTTTTGCAAGAAGGAAAATACTTGGGAAATTCTGACAGCAGAGGATTTGGCTGGTTTTTGTGTGTACTTCAGGCCCAGTCACAAGTGTCAGATCGTGCGCTTGGCAGTCCCTCTAGTGCAAGAACAAATGTGAAATTAAATGAATATATACTTGGTAGAGTAATACTGCTTTTTACAGTACGAAATTGGAGTGACCTCTGGAATTGCTTGTAGTGAGAGATTCATAGGACAGCTGAGGAAGGGTCCAGTGCAAAATCCTGCTAAAGGCAGAGTCAGCTCTGGGCTCATATCATGTTCTCGGGCCTTTATCCAGTTGGGTTTTGAAAACCTCAGAGGATGGAGACTAGAAAACACCTTTGGGGATACTTTTAATTTTAAACTAAGAGCCAGTCAGGACCCAGCCCAGCATGTCCTTCTGCACCTTAATCCATAACCCCTGGGGATTCCACGCTCTTTAAAGCACTGTGTTTCTCACTTGCACAATAACCATAACACTGCATAAAATGCAATCACAAGTTGTATAAAATACTGGAAGAAGCCAATACAAGATCTAGAATTTATTACAGACCTGGCAAATCATTTCCAAGACATCACCCTTTAAATAATACCCTGGGAACTGACTGACTTTTTGATGAGCAAAGGTAGAAGCTTGTGACTGCCCCAGCTTCCTGAGCATGTAACAGCTGTCTTAATAATGCCTATGGCTGGAGATACTGGAAGTATATTGCAGAGTTAAGAGGGTTCATTAGCAGATATGGGCAGAATTTTGTGTCCAGGCACGTATTTAGAGCCAACATACTTCTGTCTGTTCAGAGCCGTCACACATTTGGATGTGATCATGAGTAGGTCATCTGACTCTGGCTCTCACCAGAGAAATAACCTTGTGAGAACTTTCGTGTTTCTTTGTAGTTTCTGTTGCAAATGTATTTTTGAGTTACCAGCTTTGTAATGCAAACTTGATTTGGGAACAAATCTGTGTCCTGGCATATTTATCCATTGGGTTGTGGATATATTTGATCTTAAAAGCTGTTTTGATTGAAGTTTTCATCAGCAGCATAGCAAGTTTGTTATCTTTGGCTGACTCTGTGAAGTCTAAACAATTCTTAATGAAGGAATAGGATTTTCAGCTGCGGTGGCTTTCCAGGAAAGGAGAATAATGGCAGTATGACATTTAAGGCAGCAATATAAGCGTTGCCTATTTAAAATAAGCCTTGTTCTCTCACTTAATGGATTGCCTGGTTTAGAAGTGTCCAGCTCTTGTTCGGTATGCTGGGTGCATTCTGTTACCTGGAATACCAGCTCTGTGTTTGCCTTCCTTTATTTTCTACGTCAGTGGTTGAAATGTAGCTGTATGCATGTGTTGAACTTCTTTTTTTTTTTTACTATTATTAATTTTGTCTTATACTATCTTCCCTGCCTTAGGGAAGTTATCTTCTTTTTTTACTTTCTGTTGCCAAAAATAATTTATTCTTTCCAAATAAGTCGTTAGAAGTGTTGTAACGGGACATGCTGAAGTCATTTCTCCTGAACATGTGTATATGTTTCAAGTTGAGGAAGACAAAACTTGCCTGGCTCACCTCTGATGAGGCTGAAGGCATTTTTTTTTAGGAGGCCTGTAACATACAGAGTATATCGTGCAGTTTGACTGTCTGGTGAGACTTACCTAGTGAGAAATCCTGACACTGGAAGAAGCTGTTAAATGCTCAGGAGTAAATATGGGTTCAGGTTCAGAGCTTCGTTCGTGCCAGCGTAGTGGTGGTGTTACTGGGAAACACGGTCGTGCAACGATGGTGGCTTACAGTCTCGGTTGGTGCTCAACTACCTTGGCTTCCACAAACAAGAGGAAGGACATTTAAGACACAAACAGGAGTCTGAAGATTAACAATTTATGACTAAGAGCCTTTGCATTTTAAACTGTTTATTGCACTTCTTAGCCTTGCAGCAATTTTCTTTGCAGTTGCGTGGAAGGCAGGTTATTCAGTGACTCCCATCAGACCAAGCTCAGATGTATAATATTCCAGTTTAAGTGCCTGCCCAGCTTTTCAGCGGAGACTGTCTGTGTTGGGAGGGCTGAGGGTTTAGTGGAAGGAATTGAAGTGTTTCAGAACCTCATCTCCACAGATCTAGTGCTCTCAGAAAACATTTCTGGAACTGTTCTGAGGAGGCCTGGCCTGAAGTTAGGGAGCAGTTAAACCTTCACCTAAATACACTTGAAGTCTGAACATGTAAACATTCATGAACAACTAATGTTAAATAACTGTTGAAATACTGTTCAGGGGCATTTGCCAGACTTCTGTGCTTGTGATTATGCACTGTGTGAAAAGTATATTTGGTTTTCAGCATCACTGAAAGCACTGCTCTTCTGAGTGCTAGAATAAGCAGAACTGTGCACCTCTGCAGTCGGGTATGCTTTATGTTAAGTCGTATATACCCCGTTCCACCACCAGCAGCTGCTTTTATGGGTTTTTTAGGCCACCCCAGCTAATTTTACTTAAATGCTATTGTAAATGCTGTGAATATTCTAAGCATATACTCTGTCAAGCCAAGATAGCCTTGATGGAGAAAGTTAAAAGCTACTGGGGACTTAAAAGCTAACTGAAATGGAAGTTGAGGTTCCTGTTCTGCAGTAGAAATGCTCTGAGAGCATCTACAGTAATCTAATTGTAACGTTTTAGTAAAAAGTAAAGTTTTAGACTGAATTGATTATCGCAGAATCGTGTGGTACTGCAGGTTTTCAGAAAATGGTTATTTGGGCTTTTTGTATCTTGAAGGGTTAAAAAGCCCAAACAAACCCAACACTGTACTTTTTTCTTTTTTCTCCTCAGATCTAGATCAAGGAGGAGTTCCCGTAGACACTACACAAGATCACGCTCTCGTTCCCGCTCCCATAGGAGATCCAGAAGTAGGTCTTACAGTCGGGATTATCGGCGACGACACAGTCACAGCCATTCACCCATGTCTACTCGCAGACGTCATATTGGAAACAGGGTATGCATCCTCAAATCACTGAATTAATTAATTAGAGTTTTCCAGAAGAACATTCTGCTTCCTGCTCGGGTCTATTTAAAATATATTTTTGAGGTTAATTCTCATTTGGCTTTTGATAACCCATGGCTCTCCATAAGTTTGCTTAGGATTGTGGGGTGGGGGTGTCTTGTTTGGTTTTTAACAGGTGCTTTTAGAAGTGCTACCAGTGCAGGCTGTTGTCCTGTACTTGCTGTAATAAACGAGCGAATGTATGCAGGGAAGGATGGGGGTAGAATTAGGAGGGAGAAACATCTGTGGTTTTCTTGAATCGAAAGCCTGGGAAAATATTTCATTAAAAGCTATTTTGATGGTGTCTTTATTGAGTGAGCATGCAAACCAGCTTGCTTTTACCTCCTTCACAGGCTCAGGTGGCTGAACACAGTGCAGCTCATGCTAAAGTAGAGGGGGGGAAAGTGGTAACACAGAGGAAGATGTGATCCAGGCCTCTGTGCGTGTATATATATCTCCACATTCAACAGCCATAAGCTGGCCTTTGAAGGGAAGCTTTTAAAATACAGTATCTATTATGTGCTGTAACTGTAGTTTGTACAACACCTTGAGAAATGTGAAGAGTGTTTGTGAAAGAAGGCTTGCGTATCTATAGGTTTGATTGTAACGGTGTCTGTTAGCAAGTTAACCTAACCTGAATCTCAGCAGCATCTTTTTGTTGTTTTGGCTTGGAGCTCTGACACTCACAACTTGAGAAATACCTTGTACTGCAAATACAAGCAATTTTATTCTAATACTTACCTATCTGTCCCTTCCTTTAGGCAAATCCTGACCCAAATTGCTGTCTTGGTGTGTTTGGATTGAGTCTGTACACCACAGAAAGAGATCTGAGAGAAGTTTTCTCCAAGTATGGTCCAATTGCCGATGTTTCCATCGTGTATGATCAGCAGTCTCGGCGTTCAAGAGGATTTGCATTTGTCTACTTTGAAAACGTCGAGGATGCTAAGGAAGTAGGTTGGAGTAGAGAATATATGGCATGTTTGCTGTGTTTTCCATTGCTGGAATGTGTATTCTGTAATGGGATATAGGCTGCAGAAGTCCACTGTTTGATGTTAAAAATGGTGTAGGAACCTTTAAAGTTAAATCCTTTTGCTTATATGGAGTAATCATAATGCAAGCTAGTCCACGGTATCTTCTCTTCCCTGCCTTCTCAGGGCTTAAAAAATACCTGGCACCTCATAATAAATGTCAGCCTTAGTTCAAGAGTACTGCGCATCAGAGGAGGGAGTAAAGGGACATGAATACTGCTCCCCATGCAGCCTGAGCTGTGTGATAATTCACAAAAGCAAACTTCAGACTAGCCATAGAGAAAACCACACCAACAAGAAGAAGGAAATAGAAACACAGGCTTTCTAATTATGAAATGAGAGTTCCCCCTAACTTTGCCTGTGATCTTTAATAGCAGGCACGTTCAGAGTGGGCCACATGGCCGTTTTGGAGCTCTCTATAGGAGCGCTAGCGTGCATTCTGCTGGCTTCTAGTGCTTCAGTCTGAAACTGGGGGGGAGAGGGAAGAGAAGGAGTCTTTCTGAAAATAAAAGGCCAGGCAAACATACCATGGATTTTTGGTCCCTGCACATGTCCATGGGAAACCCTAAGGGATTCAATAAATTGAAGCAGTGTCAATACTGCGTAACAAATTACAGGGTTGGTGCTTACAAGTGCTATAGAATGAACAGGGAGTTGTACACTCAGACCGGCCCTTGGAGAGCAGTGTGCTTATGGGCTGTAACTAGGCTTATATTCTGCATAAGTTCTGCTACTTAAAGTCTCTAGTGTAATCTTTTACAAATTTGGTATGAAGACTTCCTTGTTAGGTTGGAGCTTTGGATGTAAGTCCTGCTGCTTCGCAGAAAAAAAAAAGCAATGGTTTGGGGGTTTTTTACTTCAGGTTTACTTATGACTCGGATATTGCTGTGTTCAAGGTTATGGTAGGTTTTGAGGATGTAGTGGCAAAAAAAAAAAAAACCAAAACAGTGCTCTTTTGTTAACTTCTAAATGCTTTGCTTTATGTTGTGTTGGAGTAGTTAAATCTCCCTACGTAAGCATGTTCAAAGATTTCTTTTAATCATGTTAGAAACAGGTACTGAAACCATTGTTACATCATGTTTCTATCAGGCTGCTTATGCTGTTAAGTCACATTTTAAGTGGTTACTGAAGCTTATATCCAGCTGGCCTTGAATGTCTTACAGTTTAGGTTCGGTGTTACGTGTAAGGCATAAGTGAAACTTAGACATGAATCCGAACTGAGCCATTTTAGGAGTCTGGTACTTGAATCAGTGGTTAGAAACTTGTGTTGGTAATAAATTTCATGCCTACAGCTAATTGTATTTTTCACTCTGTTTAGGCAAAGGAACGTGCGAATGGAATGGAGCTGGATGGAAGAAGGATCCGAGTAGACTTCTCCATAACAAAAAGACCTCACACACCTACCCCTGGAATCTATATGGGAAGACCCACTTAGTAAGTTATCCATGGGGTGTTTTTTTCCGAACCAGTATGGGATATGATTAATTGTCTTGTGTTTTCTTAAAAACTGTTCTGTATCCCCTCTGAGAGACTCACTTCTGTGTGGTTTCCCTAGTTTATCAGGTTTTTGCATTAACTTACTGTTCTGAAAGCTGTACGGTATGTGAATGTTTCAGTACTAGAAACTGAAATACAAAAATTGCTTTTGATGCCTAATTATGGTGGTTTTTTTTTTAAAGTCTCCTTACCAAGAGCTGTGCCAACACTGTGGTTATCTGACAAAGCTTCTGAGAACTAAAGAACTCAACTGATAAAGGAGGCTCTTATTTAAAAAAAACAAAACCTAAATGTGGACAGCTATCGGTAGTAACGCCCATCTTTCCAGCTCTGTAGATAGGAGGGGTTAATTTATATAGTGCTTGTCAGCGAGTGCTCTAGGGTCAGTCTGGATTACAGTGAGCAGAAACCTGTGTTCCTTAGTTATGCAGCCCAGACGTGAGCTGTCTAAACACTTAAATAAGTCTACAGTAAATTTTTTTGTTTTTACAATTTCTGAATTATTTTAAGTTGTTGTCCTATGTATCTTCAAATATTAATTAAGTTTTCAAGAGTGAATTACCAAATACTAGTTGAGTAGCTGCGTGGTGCAGTTTGCCCTATCCACAGAGTACACTTTTGATGTAAAGTTGACAAAAATGTAAATTGGTTTCCCAAGTTGTTTCTCAATTGTTTTCCCAGGACTTCTAGCTTATGGTTCTGGTGGTTATGTAGTCGATGTGTTGAGGCTGCAGGTTTGGTTTTTTTATGAGAAAGTTCTTCCAAAAGGAGCTTTCTGAGAGTTAAAAGTGAATTAAGAGTTGTCACAGAATGGAATTTCTCATATGCTTGTGATATCAAAAGGTTAAGAGGTTTGAGACCAAGGAGGAAGGTAGCTGTCTTACAGTTCAAGCGTTTAAAAAAGCAATTATTTGAGTAGTTCTGTTTCCATCTGCACGGATGGGGAAGTAGGAGTGCTCATAATGATTTCAACTGTGAGGATGTGAGGTAATAATATAACCCAGTTAAAATGGTGAATACTTGACTGACTGTACGCCTACTGAAAAGCACTGCAAACAATATCAATGTTTTATATTTTATTACATGTAATTCTCTTTTACTGCATGTAGTGGCAGCTCACGACGACGAGATTACTATGACAGAGGGTATGATAGAGGGTATGACGATCGTGACTATTACAGCAGATCATACAGGTGAGGCAGTGTTTGTAGTATTCTGCTTTTTAAACTCTGCATTCTCATCAACATTTCTAGCTGGCATTCTCATCAACATTTCTAGCTGTAGAAGTGTTAAGCAGTTCATCCTACATATGTATGCCAAAATATTTTTGCTCTTGCTGTAATTTTGAAGTGTCACAATGAAATCTACCAAAATGACTGCTCAGTACAAATCAGATGGGTCAGACTGAGAAATACTTCGAAGTCTAGCCTCTGGCATGAGATAGTCCATAATGTTTTGGTTTTTTTATCTGCATTATGTTTTGAAAAACAAAGTAAGTATGTTCTCTATACTCTTATTTTAAAAGAATCTTTGGTTGGTTCATTGGTTAGCATTGAAATGGTGGGAATACAGATGCAGATCTAATATTTGAGTTGGTAATGTAGTAGACGAAAAGTGGGAAGTTTCAGTGGTCACCAGTATCCTTTACTAATAGTTACGGCACCTCAAATGTTACCAGAAATAAGGAATCAGGGATTGGAACATGACCTGTTCTGCATTGGACATTTGCATTAAAAAGCTTTTTTTTACTTACTCTGTTAGGTTGGATGCTTGTGTTTTACTTGAAGGACTTGCAACTCCTATTTCTGTCTCTCTTGAGTCTAAACTTTTGTGATCGACAGCGTCGTAGTTAGCTGAAAGAGGTGAATATTTAGGTGGCGATGTACATTGTCGGAGGGCTAGTAAAGTTGATGCAAAATCTGTTGAAAACATGGCTGGTACATAATTGCTTTTGGTGATAGAGCTAGTTTGTCTTCTGCATTCCCTGTTAAGACTGTCAACAAGGCTTGTCCCCTGTGAAATCCTCAACAATTCTGGGGCACAAAGATAAGAGTTCGTTTTTTTCTGTCTGCAATTACCAAACATTCTTGTAGTTGCAGAATTCTGCAGTAGTACTTCCCAAGCAGTTTGCAAAGCTTAAGTGCATCAGCACTGAGTGGCTTTATGGTTGTCCCTGATGGAAATACACGCGATCAAATTGCGTTGTCACATTATAGCTCAGAGACAAAGGAAGTAATAAGTTGTGATCTCAGCTTGCAGTGTACTCTTGCGTTGCTTTCTAGGCGTAGAAGAAATTATCTTTATGCTTCTATTGATAGCTGTGCGGTCATTGTCAGTGAGGGAGGGCAGGTATCTCTTCCTTCCCCTCCTGTTACTTGCAGCTGCTGTTTCTCCTTCCCAGGCTGTTGGCATTCCTTGCAGCCTGTTTCTCCCTTTTCTACCTCGCTGTCATCATTTAAATCATGTCCCTTGCTTCTATAGCCCTTCAGTGGTGCTGGGGACAGGGAGGGGACCAAGGTGCTCTGCATCGTCACAGTGAGCGTGGGACACACAAGTGTTCTGCTCACATTTCCAGGAAGCGGTCGATAGGGTCCTTCTCTGCCTCTAACAATCCATTTTCTTGAAACAGCGGTGGTTGAACGTCTTGGAGAACTGTAGCAGCTCAAATCTGAAGTTGATAGTGGGCATACAAGAACCAAAACGTGTTGGTTTCCATCTTGCCAGCACTTCTCTATAGGATTTCATAGGAGGTAGATGTGATCCAAAAGCAGCTCTTCGACCAAACTTCCAGTTTGTTTCAGAGCACAAGGTGTAAAAACTTGCTTTGGATAGTTAACGTATCCATGTCTCATTTAATGAACTAAAAATAATAAACTGAAATCTAAATTACCTGAAGTGGCTCGCCAGAGCACTGGGGAACAGCGAAGCCTTGCAACATCACCTCCTAACCAGTCTGTGAAGTGGTGCTTCTAGCTTGCTTTTCCCACTTTCCTTTTTTTATATGGATTTTATGAAAATGGCAGAGGTATAGAAAGACCAGCAAAAGATAGGGAGCTATGCGGTGTTCAAGAGTTCTACACTATCAGTCTTCTCTCGCTTCATAATACAGATTTCCTTTTCATTCGTAAAGGGCCAGTCAGGGTGTGCTGGTTGTCCTTGAAATCTGTTGTTTTCTTGCTTGCGTGTTCTTAAATTTAATTAATTCCGTGTTCAGGGGATGGCATGACCCCAAGTCTTTAGTGCTTAAGTGCTAGAACATGAACAGTGTTCGAGTGAACAGTGGCTCAGGTGTTTGTAAAATGTTATCAGAAGTTGTAATTCCATCAGTTCTGGGCACGTGCTAGTGAGAAGAGTTGCAGACTGTGATAGGGATTGAACGTAAAGCAGAGGGCATGCGTTGGCTGAGGAAGAGCAGACTAGTAGGAAGTGATGTGAGAAGATGGGCTGCTTCAGCTAGTGTACTAGTCTGGGTGTGACACATCAGAATTCACGGCCGTGCTTCAGTCCAGCTCTTTAGGCAGTCACGTGCCGGGTGTTCTGACCTTCCTGCACAGTCTCCCTTCCCATGTCTGTTGTGAACTAGGGTTTTGGCCTGGACGCGCTCAGAGTATTGACAGTTCCAGCAAGGATGATTTCTATTTCCTATCTTAAAAAACAAAACAAAACCACCACACCCTCAAAAAAAAACAAAAAACCCCACCCCAGTGTTTTAACACTCACTGCAGAACCTTCAGAATGTCTTTTCATAGTAGATATTGAAAGGGTGGAAGTGAGCCACAAATGGTTTATGCATGGCTACTACACAAATATCAGGTCTGCCCAGGTTAGATACATACTTTCTCATCATATTGGTGTTTTGAGGGAGAGAGAGTAGTGGTGTGTATGTCATGAGTGCTTCCTTGAGGAAGGGAAAGTTAGAATTGTTAAAGATGCAGTAGAGCATTGCATACTAGTACTCCGCCCTAGAAAATGAATTGGTAACAATTGCTCTGTGTGTTTTCCCTTCCTTGCCCTCTGTGCAGCGAAGCCTTAAAGGAAACACCATTTCAGATGGGAATTAGCATGTTAAAACTTTTAATTCCTCCCCATTGCTGTGGGATGCTTAATCTTGCCTGGAAAAGTATCTGTACACTGAAGAATAACTTAACAAAATGAAACAAGGTGCACACTGGCTAGCTACCAAATGGAAAAGACTTCAAAAATGACTCAAGAAGGAGACCTGCTGATTGAAAGTGTGGTGGTGTGTTTTGGGGCTTCTTTGTCTCTCATATGATTTACAGCCTTTTTGAGCTGCTGTGAGACATCTGTGGCAGTGACTGTTCCATCATCCAAATTTAAGATTAGGTCTCCTCCCAGTAATGCTTTGCTGTGTCTAAATCTGTGGAGGCACCAGCTCACCACTTAATACTGTTAAATACCATCATGTATTGTTGCAGTTCTAGACAGCTTCTATACAAGGAGAACTTGTACCACAGTTTTTAAATGCCCTTGTTCAAACATGATTGTGAAGTGTTAAAATAGAAGGGGATGGGGTTTTCTCCCTGCTTCCACCTTGGAATCGGCTTTTTCCTCAGGACAGTGAATTGATCTTGCTACTTTAAAAAAAATAAATACAATTGCTTACCTCCAATGGGTAAGCATCTGAGAATAGAAGTGGTCTTAGAAGCGAAGGCTATGTCCTGATCTTAAATTGCTGCTTGTTGGAGAGTATGACATCGCAAAATACAATATTAGTCAGCTGGAGCATGAGCTCTCTTAACTGTTTAACTGTTCCTTTACACCGAGTTTAGCCAGCTCATTCCAGGAATACATAAAAATGAACATAGTGAAGTAGTTTAGCATTATCCGGTATAGAAACCAAGGGTTTCTTGGCTCCACATCATTTTCTTAAGCTTGATGATGCTTTTTGCTTGTACAGTGAGCTTTTGATTTATTTTTAAAATTCTGAAAAGTCATTCTGCTTTTGTATTCACAGAGGAGGTGGTGGCGGTGGAGGAGGAGGATGGAGAGCTGTTCAAGACAGGGATCAGTTTTACAGGTATGATAGGAAAGCTTTCAGTGGCTGGTCAGCAGCCACTTATACATGGTATTTTTTGAGTATTCTATGAATAAAGTCTAGATTGTCTTTAAACACGTTAACAGAAACTGGGTGGATGCTAAGTGCTGGCAGCTCTTCAGTGAGCAGTGGAATTGGGTTTAAAGGTTCCCTCATCACTAGGCAAAGGAGTGAGATTAGTATAGGGACATATTAGGGCAGCTTTGCACAGGAAAAACTTGTGTTTTATGCCAAGAAGTTAATGGGGATTTTTCTTTATTACAAGATCAGTGGAACTAGGCAAGGAAATGCAAAATTTGTGAGTGTCTGGATTGGAGGGGGCTGGGAGTGGGGTTGATTGTAGTAGTGACTGCTACTCAAATCAACTCTTCATCTCAGAACAAATAATTCCAATTCAAAGTTAAGGTGTGATCTGGATTACGCTGCTTGTTTGTGGTGCTCTTGGCTTGTAACATTAAAATCACAGTCAAATCATGAATACAAGAGAATTTATTTTTTTTAGTCCATAGTAATATTACTCTGACCTGGTAATAAAAAGAATATTAAGAAAATTCAAATTTTTGCTTTGTTCCCTGGTAGAAGTGGTGATCAGCTATCGATGTGCTTGTTAGCTTTCCCAAGTACCCTCTTGATACCAGGACTGGGTTAGAGGCATACAGATAGACCCGCTGCCGCTCACCTGCCACAGGCTTTAACAAGTGGATTGTTTCTGTTGCCTTCTTTCACAGGAGGAGATCGCCATCCCCATATTACAGCCGAGGTGGCTACAGATCTCGGTCCAGATCTCGATCCTATTCACCTCGTAAGTAGTTTAGAGCTCCCATATCAAAAGCAAATTTCCACTTTGCCTGAACTACTTCTTTTGGGGTTTTATGTCCATAAAGACTATTCAGATTCAGCATGGTGATTTTTTTGAACCACGGTTCCCTTTAATGTTTCATTGAGCAACTGGCAACCTTGAGGAGAGCAAATATTTAGTTAGCAAAAAAATAAACTAGGTAATACCACTTGTTGAAAAGTCTGAGGTACCATTTTTTTTAATCCGAAACTCGGTTAAAACAGGAGTTTGAGGAGCTTGTGGTGTGCTGCCAGTTTGGTTACCTCCAGGACAGCAAGACTGAATTCCCAAGCCTTGCATGTTCTAACACCAAAAATAAATTTCCCATCGTAACTTGTTAAAGAGGAGGTTAACTTGATCTGAGGTCCAGATAGTGCTTTTTTTTTATTGCTTATTTGCATGGAAGATAAAGCTGCATTTCAATGGCAGCAAGTTCCTAAAACACACCAGCATTCCTAGCATATTCCCTTTGTAACAGATCCAGAGTGAACAGGTTCTGTTCTCACGTTTATCCCTTGTCCCTTGTGTCCAAATGAAACTAAGCTTAGCTGCTTTTACTGATACGTAGGGGAGCTGCCACCGAGGGAACAGCACAGTGTGAATTCTCCTTGTGCTGAAACGTCAGCCCTGGGTGTAGGAGAGGTTTGTCTACCCAAAGGAACGTGCTGGCAGAATTGGGCTGACTGCTGGACTTTGTCATAAGGCTCCCAAATTTGATGCAGATTTGAGGAGTCTCTGTGAATTTAGACGAAGCTCTTAAAAATCTGTCAAACCTTGGAAGTCTAACAGTGTCTGTATTTTGTTTTTTTCTTTCAGGTCGCTATTAAAGCATGACATGTAGAAGAATTTCTAGCTACAGCCTTTGAGTTGAAACTGCAAGTTTGTGGACAATATTTTTATTGTCTCCTCTGTTTAAACAAGTGAACAGTGCCTAGTGAATAGGTGACTTTTACACCTTTTATGAAGACTACTTCTGTGATGTTAAATGCTGTTTTGTTCTGCATATTTGTGTAGCTTGGTGCTTTGTTTCAAGTTGTGTTTTGAAAGGAGTATGTTTTGCATGTATTTTTTTAGTCTCAATTTTGACTCCTGAAAGGTTTCTATTGTAAAGACAAACTGTTGAGTTAGTTTTTTCTACTGATTCCAAGTTATTCTGAAGATCAAAACCTGTGTTATAAGCTTTCAAAAAGTGAAAAATAAAATAAAAATAAGTTTGTTTTTTCTTTTCGTACTTATTTTTGCCAAGTATAAGTTACGGGTTGAAAAGAGATTACAACACTTACGCCATATATTCTGGCATAAAGTTTAAAGCCCAGAAGTAAAATTCACCCTAGTTTTGTGTTGCTGGGTACTTGTTCTCTAAAGGTAATACCTTCAGGCTGTATGCGTAGAAAAGTCTGTGCACAAATTGTACAGCGGCAGGAGCAAGAGATGTCATTCAGCAGCACTGTACACGTGGAGCAAGGCTTGTAGTAAACTCTGGGTAATGCTGTTGAGCTTTGAGGTGGGTGAGATGTTAGCACATTGTCACCTGTAACATGTAGAGCTTTAGTGAGATGGCCTCAGGGGCGTAGGGAGCCATACGCTTAGAGAAGGCAATGAAATAACATTTAGACGACTACGATTTATCTTTTCTTCATTGGTGATTGTCCTCCTTTAAAGAGTGTGTCTTTATCCACGTATGCGGTTAAAATGCAACATAACTCTCAAGTGATGCTTTCCCACCAGTATAGGACCATTTTGTCTGCTCCGATTCATGGACTCCATACACTGACAGGAAAATTCTGTGCAAGATTTGAAAATCGTTTTGTCACACTAGAGCTTCCCTCAACCTCGCGTTGTAGCTGCACTAGTGACCGTGTCCGGAGGACCTGGAAAACGAGCAGTGAGATGCTGGGCTCCCATCTGCCACTGTTCTCTCAGCTTTTGAAGTTCAACTTTTTTTTTTTTTACTGTGTGGCAATTTCCACATTTTTTTTTTCCATGGACTAAGAGCAGTTACAGGACCCTGTGGCCCTGCAGCCTCTTGACCTTTGTGATGGTTGCCCCCGTTCCTGTATGGGAGTGGAACAGAGAGCTGCTCTTGTGCATTTCTGTGCCATTTCTAGTCACCGGCCTCCATCATCTCTTGTTTCGCTCTGGTTTTTGGATCAAGTTGGATCTTTGGTGGAAGTTTTCAGTTAACATCCCCATCAGAAGGGGATGGAAGGAAGGAGCAGGATGGAAGGAAGGAGCAGGATGGAAGGAAGGAGCAGGATGGCACACACTGTGTTCCACAGGTTTAGGAACTGTGGGTTTATGTGATAACATCATGTTGATTTCTTTCTGAGCACCATCTTGTGCTTGTCCCGGTTGGGTTCTCTGATGTTCTACTGAGCTGAAGGTTTTCATACACGACTTCCAAGGGCTTGCACCGGAGGATGAAGGATCAGAAGCCTGCCCCTGCAGTCTTCCTTTCGTTAGAGAATTTAAAACACGCCTGTTTGAGCTGCTGTGATGGCACTCAGCTATAAAGACAAGTGCCACCAAAGCCATCGCAGGTTGGGATTTCGGTGGTAAGCCTGTTTCACCCCCAGTTTGTTATTCAGTGGGTGCTACTGCAATAGTCCTGTCAGCCTAACAAAAAAACCAGGCACACACTGTGTTCCACAGGTTTAGGAACTGTGGGTTTATGTGATAACATCATGTTGATTTCTTTCTGAGCACCATCTTGTGCTTGTCCCGGTTGGGTTCTCTGATGTTCTACTGAGCTGAAGGTTTTCATACACGACTTCCAAGGGCTTGCACCGGAGGATGAAGGATCAGAAGCCTGCCCCTGCAGTCTTCCTTTCGTTAGAGAATTTAAAACACGCCTGTTTGAGCTGCTGTGATGGCACTCGGCTATAAAGACAAGTGCCACCAAAGCCATCGCAGGTTGGGATTTCGGTGGTAAGCCTGTTTCACCCCCAGTTTTTTATTCAGTGGGTGCTACTGCAGTAGTCCTGTCAGCCTAACAAAAAAACCAGGTAATCGCGGGGCAAGCGTTTGCGTGCTGTCTGAGCTACGTCCCGTTTGTTTCAGGATCAACCCATTGTTTGCTGTCCTGTGAAGGCTAAATTGCACTTAAGGTTCTTCACTAAGTGCTTCTAAAGTCTATTTTTCATTTTTACAATCAGCATCAAGTCATGCATTTTGGTTTTCAGCTCTTAAGTTACGCATTGGATTTAAAAGATCTTGGTCAAACCCTACGGAGTGTATCTCATACCGCAGAGCACGTCTATGCAGTTAGATCTAAGATCTAATTGCGTTGGAGATGCACTGGGCTTTCCACATCGGTTTACAGTGAGAATATTTTTTGTATAGTGGCATACTCGTTTCTGGACTCAAAAAACTGTTCTGTACAGGCATAGGGAAGAAAGCACTTTCCCCTTTTGCTCTCAGAAGCAGTTTGGCAAATTGCGTGTGATTGCACGAGGCAAGAGACCGAAGAAATAAGCCTGACCTGCTGCAGCTGCCTGGCGAGGAAGAAGGCTAACAGCAGTACACCAGGCATCTTGGGAAGGTTTTTACAAATCCCTGGATATATTTTTAAATCTCTATCTTTTTATGTTTTTACAAGATGTTTTTACTCTCCAGAATGGACGACAGGATTTCAGCAGTGGTTATTTTTAACTGTTACCAGTGGTGACATCCCATCCAGGGCTGAGTTGGTACTCCCATTTACACCTCCCCAGGAGCATGCAGTGCTGCTCCTGTGCTGAGAGCACCCCAAATCCCAGCGCACTCCCCACTCAGTGTGTTCCGGTGCCACATTTCGCCTTATGGGCACGTGCGGGGGTGTTCCCTGTGAAGGTGGAGTTCCACCCCCTGAAGCTGACCTTCCTCCTTCACAGAGTGAGCAGTCTCTCTGTTCTTTTGACCGCATTTTCTTAGTCACGGTCTTATGCTTCCTTTGAATCACTCAGCAGGGGTTGACAAACACGGAGTCAAGACCATGTGTCCCTTTGGTAAGCGTCTTTTATGTTTTAGTAAAATGAAGATTTCGCAACTCGTGGTGCGGTTCCTGGCAGCTGAGTTCATCCACTGGCGTGTTGCTGCTGGAGGAGCATCCTCCTGCTCCTTCCCCGCACGGCAATACCTGGTCCTTCTGGTAAGGCTCGCATCCGCGGCCGAGCTGTATTCTGCTCTGGATGGCAGGCTCCTCTTTCCTCTGCAGCGGCAATAAAACAAGGATATTGTGTTGGGGAGCGGTGGCGTGCCGAGGTACACCCTAAAATCCATTTCAAAGCTGTTTCTCAGGTTTGGGAAAACATCAACTCTGGTGCTGCCAGAGCCTTGCAGGGGGGAAGAGCCTTTTGTCTGGGTGTTTCCTGCTGCTGAATCACTGCCTGTCACTCCAGAACCAGCCCCTGCTCAGATGCTCCCCGGCGTGTGTCATGTTACCCTGTTCCGTGGGAATGACAGATTGCTGTGGTATGTGATGCGCTTCGAAACCGCCTCTGAATCACTGCTGGATGTCCTGACACGCTGCCAGCACCTAACGCAGAAATTCAGCGCAGGGGAGGGGGGACGGCAGACCCTGAATTTGGGCAGGAATCCCGCCAGCCGTAGGGACGCGTCCTCTGCCGCGCCAGCTGCGAAACCTGCATCTGCTGGGGTGGCTGGGACATGTTGTGCCCTTTGCTGACCCCCTTTCCTGGCAAGAGTAGGACAAATAAAAAAAACTTCACCAGCACGTGAGGAAAAAGGAAACGGGGCTGTGTTGGTGTCGTTGCAGCCCTGGGCTCTCCCCACTATGTGCAGGTGGAGTTTCCTCTGGGTCAGTTTGTGTTTCTCGCTGTGATGGTCCAGTCCCACCGCCCCTCCCCAGCCCTGCAGCATCTCCCTGGTCCCCTAGGTGTGAGAAGGGTTGTGAGTTCCTAATAAAAAAAAATGCAGTTTTCCCCAGCAATTCTTTAATTTGGATTCAAGCCATTTGTTTTGTGGTTCTCATTTCAGCTCCAGCACATCAGCCGCCTGAAGGCAGGTATTCCCATCCCAACAGAGCTGCTTCCAGAGCCCAGAGAAGCTGAGCCTTTCTTCTTCCTGCTTCACCATGCAGGGTATGGCTCCGTAGGGCTCGCTTGGGTGGGTCTCTGGCACCTGGCCTTCGCTCCATCACCTTGCTCCTCAGCATCCACACCTTCAAGATCACTTCAGGAGAGTCAGGGAAATGTTGAGCTTGTTGAGGAGGAGCTATTGGTACATCGCTACTGCCTGTCTCTGGCCATCGTTCCCATGCTTAAAAATTTTAAAAGTTATTTTTCAGTTGTCCTCAACCCCTGTGCAGCTGTAATTAATGGAGACCTCGTTATGGATTCAACTACCCAGCCACAATAGTTACCTTGGATCTCACCATTCCCAATTTTTAAGGGCTGGTGATCTGAAAGTTTCCCAAATTGTTATTTGATTTTCATTCGTGTCCCAGCAAAGAGTGAGCAAAACAATTCTCCCACAGCTTGAAAAGTACAGAAGTGTTTTTCAACCAAATTCTGAATTATTTTCATCAACTCTGCTGTTTGGGATGGATAATCTCACCCTGACAAAGTAGGCTGGCGTGCTGTACCGCTCT